TTCTATCACAAAGTGTTGTTGTAGAAAGTCTGATGAGAATGTATGATTTTTTTTACCCTTTATAAATCACAAACTTTTCTTCCCTTCTAGATGGCCAAATAACTTTTTTAGTTTTCTTTAAAATCTAATAAGTTCACTAGCATTTGTCTTGGTGTTGGTTGTTCCGGGTTGTTTTTTCAGATTCACAGTATGATCTTCCAATATGTAGTTTAAAATCATTTTTTCTTTCAGGAAAGATGTTTTAAATGTGAATATTTTTAGCAATTTTTCTATTTCCTTGCTTTTGTCTTCGTCTTCACGGACCCCCATTATCCATATGTGAAATCTTCTTTATCATCAGTATTTGTCACTTTCTCTTCAATCCTTTTTGTCTCTTCATTTCTTATCTTAATTTTTTTTCACTTTTTCACCTTGCATTTCTTTTCAAAGTGTTATCTATTTTTTATTCACTCTTGGATATGACTAATTTAGTCTTTCTTAAATTATTTTATTATTTTATTTCATTTTTTCTGGGTCCTTTCACTCCACTTTTAAAACAGTTTTTTAATTTTTGTAATCAAGATTTACACTGTTATTTTATGTCTCATATTATTCTTTATATCTTTTTGTTTGTTTTAAAATGGTAGGTTAATAGTCATGATATGTTTCTTGAGCATATTTTTCTGGTGTACTTTTTTGCTAGCGGTAATATTAACCTCTGTCTTCCCCCTCTCCACACTCCCACCATAGCTTTGTCTTGAATTTGACCTCGGTACTTTTCTCTGCTCATTTGCAAATGAAATTAGTTTTTCTTAACTTTTAAAATGAGGTAGGAAAGTTTTCCTACCTTCACAGATCTTCTTCTTCTGTTGTTTATATGTACTGTTTAAAAATTGTAATGCTTACTTTCTGAGATTTTTTTGGCTCTACTCCAATCCTCCACTTTAGGCCTTTTTCTTTCCCTCTTTTTTTTTTTTTTTTTTTTTTTTGAGATGGAGTTTTGCTCTTGTTGCCCAGGCTGGAGTGCAATGGCACAATCTCAGCTCACCGCAGCATCCGCCTCCTAGATTCAAGTGATTCTCCTGCCTTGGCCTCCAGAGTAGATGGGATTACAGGTGCACACCACCATGCTCAGCTCATTTTGTATTTTTAGTAGAGATAAGGTTTCTCCATGTTGGTCAGGCTGGTCTCGAACTCCCAACCTCAGGTGATCTGCCTGCCTTGACTCCCAAAGTGCTGGGATTACAGGCGTGAGCCACTGCGCCCAGCCTAGACCTTCTTTTTTATTCACCTCTCTTGTCCTTATCCTGTTTAATTTTGAGTTTAGCCCCAGCAGTTTCTTCTATGAGAAGGATTCTGTCTTGAAGAGAGTCCTAGTGGAATGGTTTTTAGATTCATAGGGGCTAGACTGCTCCAGGGACTGCTTTCTTCAGACCTTTCTTTTTTCTTTTTCTTTTTTCAGTTTTAGACAGGGTCTCACTCTGTCACCTAGGCTGGAATGCAATGGCGTAATCATAGAGTGCACTGTAGCCTCAACTTCCTGGTCTCAAGTGATCCCCCTGCTCAGCCTCCTGGGTAGCTGGAACTACAGGTGCATGCCACCACACCCTGCTGATTTTTAAAAAACAATTTTGTAGAGATGGGGTTTCACTATGTTGCCTAGGCTGGTCTCAAACTCCTGGTCTCAAGCAATTCTCCTGCCTCAGCCTCCCAAAGTGCTGGGATTACAAGAGCCACTGTACCAGGCCCCTTCAGACCTTTTTACTGTGGATCCCATGTACTCATCTGGTATTGAAGAGAGCAAAACCCCTCCCTATTTCAATTGCTGTAAATTGGTCTCCACGCATTCCAGTGAATATTTGTTGACTATTTTGGGGCTCTCCTGTTTTCAGGTACATTAGATGCTGCCCTGACACTTCCTTCTTCTCCCACATGAATACCATGCAGGTCTTGTGTTGGTGGTGGTTTATCGCTACCAACTTCTTTTGGAGCCTATAGAGCAACCTTGTCATGTAGTTTTCTTATAAACGTTGTCCATGAAAATTTGGTTTTATCTATATGCTCTGTTTTTACGTGTGGATTCACAGCATTTGAAAACTTTTGTTGCCTCTGCCTTTATATTCGCTAATACTTGGTTTTATATGCATGTTTACTATTATATTTATTCCAGTATTGTAAAAGGTTATGATCTAATTTAATCACTCACTTACAATTCCTATTTTTTAAGTTTTTAAATTTGCTGTGCGATACTCATCGTTACTGTCATTTTCCTTAAGTGTGTACTAAAAGGGACAATTTCTATGCCCTTCTTGCATGCTTCTCGTATCAGTGAGGTAAGCTGGTTCTACTAGGTTGTAGAAAGTAAATGTATCGCTGTTACAGTGTTCATCATTCCTGGCCTTGCCTTGTGTATCAGTGTATTCAAACGAAGGCTTTCTTTATGCAGTGGAAGGACTGGGATTCATAAGTCATAGAAAATAAATAAATACACCATATAGTTTTATGGAATTTTTCAAAAATCTAAACAAGATATCCACATAAGGTAAATTGAAATGTAATAAGCTGCATGTCTGTCATTCACTTACCAGCACTATCAGGAAGAGAATATCTGGGAGAAGGAAATAGAAAGAGATGTTTTCTCTGCAAATAGCTCCACCATAATTAGTGTTGACTAGGGAAAGACAAATATAAATGGCTATTTGCAACCTTGATCTAGATAAAAATTACAATTCTAATTTACAATTCTAATTTTTTATTGAAACAATACTCAATATATTATCTTTCCGAATGAGAAATCTGTTGCGAGGTTGTTCCTGATGTCTAGAGATAGCTAACCTACATTTACAGAATAAACCAGTATCCCAAGAAAATTTAAGAGGTGTTTTGAGTTTTAATCTTTGTAAGTTGGACTGTACTGTACTGTAACTTAAGAGAGATTTTTAAACTGAAGCACAAGAAATATTAAAACAAAATGCTATCGCAAAACTGAAATACTGTTTCATGAATATTCAATGAGTTCCTGGAATCTGTTTTATGTCCTGAAGATACAGAAATAAAGATTTCCCTCCCCCCCCATTTTCAAGGGATGGAAGAAGACAGGTTTTTTTTGGTTTTATTTTATTTTATTTTTGAGACGGAATGTTGCTCTGTAGCCAGGTTGCAGTGCAGTGGCATGATCTTGGCTCACTGCAACCTCCACCTCCTGGGTTCAAGCGATTCTCCTGCCTCAGCCTCCTGAGTATCTGGGACTACAGGCATGCACCACAACGCCCAGCTAATTTTTGTATTCTTAGTAGAGACGGGGTTTCACCATATTGGCCAGATGGTCTCGATTTCTTGACCTCGTGATCCACCCGCCTCAGCCTCCCAAAGTCCTGGGATTACAGGCGTGAGCCACTGCGCCCAGGCAGAAGACAGTTATTTTTTTATGATGTGTAGTTCCCAAATGCTGGTCTACAGGCAGGTGCCACAATGTGGGACAAGTTTTCATCAGCTTATGATGAAAATTGGGAACAGAAGGGCCATGTAGTAAATTTTTATAAAGCCTAATTTACTTTACTTAAAGGTGTTTTTTTTTTTTTTTAAAGTTATGGCCTTAATAGTTTTTTACTGCCAAATATCCTTTTGTCCAAGAAATGATTATAGTAAGCGATAGTTTTTGTTTTGTTTTGCTGATGCTTGCTTCTGATAATAAAAAGTCAGTAATTGTTTAGTTTCAGAAATTTTTTTAGGTTTTGATTCAACTCTTGAAATCTGAACCACTATAAGAAGTTCTATCCCAACAATAAGAATTATACCTTATAAAAGAATCACTAATTCTATTCTGAATTTAAAGAGTTGTTTGAATTAAGTTGTAGAAAAATCAAACATAACAAATTAAAGTCTTAGAGATTTCTTACAAACAAATAAGATGAAGATATGAATAGATAAATAGCCAAAGATAAGAAAGGCAATAAACAAAGAATTTTAAAATGACCAGTATAAACACATAGAAAAACGTTCAACTTCACCAGTAATAATGTAAATTAAAACAAGGCAGGTGGATCAGTGAGTATTTGAGAAAATGGGCATTCTCTTAGTCTACTGTTGGAAGAAAATGTTGGTAAAACTTCCTTGAAATCTACTTGGCAGTATTTATCAAGAGTCTTAACAATACAGAAAGTCTAAGAACCAGTGATTCTGTTTCCGAAAACCTGTGCTGAAAAATACTTTGGAGCTGCAATTAGAGAATAACTCTCATGGATGTTTGTTGCTGTGTTGCCAACAATTAGAAACATAGAGATCTATATTAAAATGTTTTTTAAAATTATGATCACATAGTTAAATATTATGCAGTCATAAAAAAATCATCTTTAAGAAGATCTAATAATGTGGAAAAATGTTAAAAGGATACAAAATTATGTATGTTTTACATAAGAAAAAATATGTGTATATAATAAAAAACAGTGCTTTCAGTGGCTCTTTCTGAGCAATGGGATTATATATGTTTTCTATTTTTTCTTTTCATGTATTTGCTACATTTTCCAAATTTCCAACAAGGAACATGTGTTACTTTTATGATTTAAGAAAATTATTACTTAAAAGTATGCACTTTTTAAAAAGAAAATTATTAGTATTGAGTTAATAGGTTTAGTTTCTAACTCTGAAGATGAACCTTTTTAAAGCAGGCTATGGGGCTCAACCGTATAAACCAGAAGCCTATATATTAAAAAGTATGTTTTGTTTGTTGGGGATAAATTATCTTGATGGTTTCTTTATGTCTCCTCTGCTATGAAAACAGACATTGCCACTCTATGTTACAAGGGTAAAATATGAATTAAAAGAGAATTACTAAAACAAAATACCTGTGGCTCTTTAGACAAATACATATGTTGATACCATCATTGCAACATAACTACTGTTTATATGTCCTGTGAGAATTAGCAAGAAGTGTGTTAAGTATGTAAAGAACCACAGAGAAACTATTTTGTAAATACAAATTATGATTCTCTTAGCATAACTTTTATTTATATGTGTTGCAGTATAACCTTGAATATTTGGATGCAAGCCATAACCATGTGATAACCCTTGAGGGATTTAGAGGTCTGATGAAACTGAAGCACTTAGACTTGAGCTGGAATCAACTGAAAAAATCTGGCGATGAAATAAATATGTTATGCAAACACACCACAAGCCTTCTCACTCTTGATATTCAACATAATCCATGGCAAAAGGTATGCCGCAGACATGTTACTAAAAAGCAAACATTTTTATTTCAGAGCCATTTCCCTACTAACTTTACTATTCAGTAATAGCCAGAGATAGGCAAAGCATCTTCATTTTTCTAGACTTCTTTCGTTGAAGTCATTCATAAATTGGATTTAATATACTGATCAAATGAATCAGATGTTACTATAAGAGCAGACTATAATTTCATATCAGATTTTTTGTAACCTCTAATAGATTGAGAACATTATTGCTTTGAGTCATTGATGTCATTGCCATTTGCAAACCTCCAGAGATTTTATATAGTTCAGTGTGCTGGAACTGTATTTTAATGAGGCATAGGAACCAAGAATAATATAATACAGTGAGAGGGGCATACTATTAAGGAAGAAACATAATTTGATTTATAATATATCCTAATCTGTGGTTGAGCAACATGTTTTACAATTTTATTTTGCATTTTGCATTATTCATTACTTGTTTTCAATTTTAAGTCCAGAAATCACCTCCCCTCATAAACCTGCATTATAAAGTCTTATGTTCTCTTATAAAAAGGCAATCTGAACATTATTTTTTCTCATTACAAAAATATGTAGGTTAATGCTAGGTAATTTCCATATTCCATGACTATACTTAAGTATATCTTCAAGTATTTAAAGTAAGTCCCAAGATTATAAAGTCAATAATCTTCCTTTCTCTGCCCTTAAAAGATGTATATCAGGTTGTGTTCAGCCTTTAAAAAGGAAACTAAAGCACAATTGGTTCTATTAAATTGACCATATTACTAAGTTTATATTGCTGTATTTCTTCTTTTTTTGCTCAGTAAAAGTGAATAATATTTTTCCTTTGCCAAAGCATATTTCCTGGATGATCACACTACAGCTATCTCCCTGTTGCCAAATTGGATTGTCAAAGGCTAAAGATCCGTATTGAATCACACATGGAGATGACTAGCTTACCGCTGATCTAGATAAACAGGAGTCACTACAGTTGTTCTTTTAACACTTTTCACCGCAGTCACTTTTCAATAGCTTATGGGATTTCCCTCCCTCATCGGAGTAGAATCACCAACCTTCAAACAAATAGATTAATCATTAAATATAATTTCAACTATTATTTAAATAATTAAGCTTTTATTTTTAGGTATATGTCATGAACAAGGAAATGTATGATTTTGAATTATATGGAAAGACATGAAAACACTCATTTTCATGCCATAACATATTTAATAATTAATCAAAAAATTTTTTTTGTTTTTCCCAAGCCAGCCACATTGAGGCTGAGTGTTATTGGCAGATTAAAGACTCTTACCCATTTAAATGGAGTCTTCATTTCTGAAGAAGAAGCAACAGCAGCTATGAAATTTATTGCTGGAACAAGGATTACTCAGGTTGGATTTTACTGTTTACTATTCATTGGGCTATTTAGAACATACAAATAATATTTTGCATACTCTTTTTCTGTCATTAAGATTTTATATTCCCTCTTAGCCTATTGATAAAAAATTAATATAGAGCAATCATACCACTTGATTTTTTTTCTGTTTAAATGTATCTCATTTAAATACCAAATTGTTGTATGGATTCTCTTGATTTCCATGAACACTACACCAAAAATACCTCGAGAGTAACTGCTTTTTTACCAGTCACCTGAACTCACCAAAGCCCTTTCTAGAGCCTACATGAAAATAAGCAACTTTCTGAGGATAAGGTAAGCTGAGACGCTTTCAGAAAGCATTTAGTGAATTATCTATCTACTTAATATTAACATTGTATTTGTTTGGCTGAAAAGAACAAAATCCATTAACATGGAAGGAGGGGAAATATCTTTGTTATCCATATTAAGAATGCTGTACTTTAGCCAAAGTAGCTTCAACATCCTAAATATATCTACTCTAGTTTTCCAGCTGTTTACTTTTTGTGGAGTATCAGAATATTAATTCCTTAAGCAATGTAATGTTTAATTTTGGATCTATTCAAAATTTTGGAAAGAAACTTTTTATTGATAAAAAAAAAATTCACAATCCTAAACAACAGTTGGGAATTTACCCTAAGAAAAGAACTAAAAATAGAACTACCATTCCACTCAGCAATCCCATTTCTGGGGCTATAACCAAAAGAAAATTAATCATTCTACTAAAAAGACACATGCATTAATATGTTCATTGCAGCACTATTCACAATAGTCAAATCACAGAATCAACCTAGGTGCCCATCAGTGGTGGATTGGATAAAGAAAACGTGGTAAATGTACACCATGGAATGCTACGCAGCCATAAAAAAGAATGAAATCATGTTCTTCACAGCAACATGGATGCAGCTGAAGACCATTATCCTAAGCGAATTAACACAGAAACAGAAAACCAAATACCACGTTATCACTTATAAGCGGGAGCTAAACATTGGGTACACATGGACATAAATATGGGAACAATACACATTGGGGAATACAACAGGGAGGAGGGAGATGGGCAGGGCTGAAAAATTACCTATTGGGTACTATGCCCACTACCTGGATGATGGCTTCAATCCTACCTCAAACCTCAACATTATGCAATGTATCCTTGTAACAAACCTCCACATGTACCCCCTGAATCTAAAATTAAAATTGAAATTAAGAAAATTAGTTTTTTTAAAAGAAATCAAATCCTGCTAAAATCCTTTAAGACAATGTGGTATTGGCACAGAGCTAGACAAATAGACCAACGGAACAGAATAAAGACCTAATATAGACTGTGGAAACTTTATAAATAACAGAACTGCCTTTGCAGATCAGGGAGATTATTCAATAAAAGGCATTAAGGACTTTATTATAAAAGGCAAAACCAAAAATTTTTGAAGAAAATATCAGAGATTATCATTATGACTTTGAATTTGTGAATAATTTAGTAGGCAGGAAACAAAGAGCATAAACCATAAATAATTGGACATGTCTACATTAAAATTAATATATCTTTTTTCAAAGAAAGTGAAAAGACAAGCTACATACTGGGAAAAGAAATTTGCAACACAACTGTCAAAAGATATTCTTTATATATCCAGAATATATAAGGAAAAAGACAACCAGCCAAACAGAAAAATGCGCCAAAGATCTGAACATACACTTCACTGGAGAGGAAATCAGAACAGCCAATTAACTTAGGAAAAGATGCTCCACCACATCAGTATTCAAGAAAATGAACATTAAAACCGTAATGACCTACTAATTTTTGCCAGTTTTATAGATGAGCAAAAACTTTAAAGTCTGACAATACCAAGCTGTTGCAAGAATATGAAGTAAAAGTGTAATTTTTCTGAAGTGGTACAACCACTCTGGAAAACAATTTGACATTATTCAGTAAAGCTGATGTATATTTGTGTGTGTGTGTGTGTGTGTGTGTTCTACAACCCAGCAATTTTACTTTACTTCTGTGCATATACTCTAAAGAAACTCTTGCATGTATGTACCAGGAAACATGCACAAGAATATTCATGACAACAATGTTTATAATAGCAAAAACTGAATCAACTCCAATGTTAATTGACAGGAGAGTCATTAAGGGAATACTATACACAGGACATATGAGTGAACTACAGCTACATACAGAAGCTTAGATGAATCTGATGAATATGATATTGAACAAAAAAGGCAAGTCATAGAAGAATACATACATATTATTCAATTTACAGGAAGTTCAAATATGTGCAAAACTAAATTATATATTGCTTATGGACACAGACATAGGATTATAAAGAAAGCAAGTGAATGGTGGACAAAACATTTGAGATAATGATCACTTCTACAGAGAAGGAGAGAAAAGGACTTAGGATGGGGCCCACCGGGTGCTTGTAATCTATTCATAATATTCTAGCTCTTAAGCTAGTTTCATGGGTGGATTATATGGGTGTTCATATTATAGTAATCCTTTTACAATCTTATAAATATAATCTTGTAATGGTTCCATATTTGCTAAAACAAGAAACAATGTAATTAAAGTATGTCTGGATATTGAAAACAATTTAAGGCAAAGGAAATGTTACATTTTAAAATTATTTATTGGGCCACTCATCTTCCCTGGAAACAATAATTTTAACTATGTATCAACTAACCTCTGTATACTGTTTCCTTTTTTCATTGTATTTTTTAAATTTTATTAGTTATCTCTCTTACGGCATTCTAGTACTAAAGAGGAGAGACCACGGATACTTAGTATATGGCCTTCTGCCAAAATTCTGACGCAGATTTCAAAGTTAGGACCTCATTTACATCCGAGTGGAAACTGGTACTTGAAGGTAAAGGTTAATTCTACTAAACCTAATATAAAGTTTAATTTAAATCTATTTTTAAGTCATTGTTGGTCTGTGTATCATAAAGAAGGCACAGATAGGTAAGGGACAGAAAGCTGGAAGAGATTAATTAAAATAGGGAAGAAACACTTAAGATCTACCTCTTGGAAAATTTCAAGTATACGATACCGTATCGTTAACTTTAGTCCTTACCTTTAGTCATTAAAGTTATCATTAACTTTAGTGTTGTACATTAGGGTCTCTAGAAAGTATTCGTTGTGCATAACTGAAACTTTGTACCTCTTGACCAACATCTGCCCATTTCCCATTGCCCCCAGCCCCTGGCAACCACTATTCTACTCTCTCCTATGAGTTTGACTATTTTAGAGTTCATATATAATTGAGATCATGCAGTTTTTAATTTATAATGTATGCTTGTATCAAGTTATACATCTTTAATATATGCAATTTTAAATTGTCAATTATACTTCAATAGAGTTGGAAAAAATAAAAATAAGAAAGACATTGTTATTATTAGAAAAAAGTAATACATTTGTCATATTCCAAAAAATAAAAAACAGGGAGGTCAAGTCATGAGTGGCTGTGTCAGATGGGCTGGGCCTTGACTGCGCTCGCTACAGAATTGGAAATTTAAGATAAAGGTGCACTAAAACTGAAGGGCAAATTTAAAGGGCCATTCTAATTCTGGATTCTGATAACATGTCAGAATAGGCAAGCAAACTTTAAAGACTCAGAGCCAGAGATCAAGCCAAAATTTGGACAGCAAGAGTCAGGTATCTTGACAAGGGAGTAGGGGAGCTGGTCAGAATTCAGCCAAGGATAAGGGAAAAGGTCATAGAACACTAGCAGCTTCTTGCTACATTAGGTGTCCTTATACCTCTTGCCAAACATAGAAACTGGGCTAAGTGAAGCTGCTCCTTGAAAATGGGAGATATTACTGGCATTACTTTTATTGCAAGATATATATAGATATTGAGCTGCAAATGAAGGCCCAGTGACAGCCTTGGCTGACCCACAGGCAGTTCTGGAGTTAGAGGAGCCAGAATGGCCCTTTAAATTTGTCCTAAGTTGGGTTGAGATGGTCAGGCCTTTATATGCCTCCATCACTGGCTGAGGGCCAACCTGGGAAGGAGCGTGATCTTGGCAGCTGTCTACAGCAAGGCAGTCCCTGCAGGGGACTGACAGCTGAAGGCTCTCTGCCAGAAGCACTCCCAGCAGCTGGGGACAAGTCCATTACTGCAATGGGACTCTAGCTCATCACAGTGTCCTTAATACCATATAAGTCCTTCTTGGAGTTATAATCTTGTCAAATTTTACTTTTCTGTAAACTAATAGCTTCATAATATTCCTGAAGGAATTCTTTTGATAACTACTTATCACATTTGAATTATTTCATTAGCTTTTTAAAATGTTACTAACATTGACTGAATTTATTTATAAGATTTAGAAATAACATATAATGTAAATTATTCTACAGCTAACTGCCTTAAATTTAGATGGACAACATCTTTTTGAAATCACAAATTTAGAAAAATTGGAAAATTTGAAATGGGCATCATTCAGCAATAATAATCTCACTAAAATGGACGGTCTGGAATCCTGTATTAACTTGGAAGAGCTCACATTAGATGGAAACTGCATCTCAAAGATAGAAGGTAAGGCACTTAAGAACTCTGAAGTCTCAAAATATGGATGTCTAAACAACAAAGCAAAAAATAACCCTGAGAACAGAGTTTCTGAAGAGGAAGATCTCTAGGAAAGTTCCAAGTTTTGTGGCAGAGTATTCTAAATACCTGCGTGAGGTAATACAACTATTAGTTAGCTATATTGGACCATTCTACAATATATATATATACTTCAAAACATCATGTTGTACAAGATAAATAGATATAATATTATCTGTCCAATTAAAAAATAAAAGATATATAAAATTAAAACAAGTTCACACCTATTCATGGAATTTGTGACTATTTTACTTTATATGAGCCCAGCAAGCTGACTTTCATCTCCTGTGCCTTCTCTCTCCTCTCCTCTGTGCTAGTTTATAATCTGTTACCAAACACTAGCACATACCAACTAGTTAGTCATTAACGTCTGTAAAGTTGAATGCACAAATGAATGAGGTATGCTTTTGAAAAAGATGAAGCAGACTAGTTCTGTTTTAAAAATATAAAATTAAGGTTATATTTGGAAATTTGAATACTTCAACAAAAAATGAAAATTATACTCATTAGAGGTTGAAAATAAAATATACTATATGTAACGTTTTCCATGGATCCACATACAAGTCCAATTAAGCAGCTTTAGTAATATCTTAATAATAATGATACCAATATAACATATTTTATTTGACTGTTTAAAGTTCAGTGTTAAAACATATTTTTCTGAACCAGAGAGAATAAAAAAGACTTTTCCTCCCTTTCCCCTTCCACGCTTCTTAGATTCTTCTCTTCATTTGGATTTATGCTTATCTACAGCTAAATATCATGAGTTTAGAGAACGTGTCCCAGAATATATACTACCAAGTCAAGTATTTTCTGACTCCTCCCCAGCTTTATTTTATTCTTACCTTCATTAGAAAGAAATTGAAGGAAGCTTTCCATGACTTGCTACCAACTTTCTCTTATTCTCTCTCTCCATCTCAAAAGAGTAACTAACGCCTAGAAATTAAAAAATATTTCCACAAGTGTGCACTATTTGATTGAAAAGAGAAATATGTATATGTGTATACACACATACACTTATCTGAATAAAGAATATTTCTGTATGTGCATTTTGGTAACATGGTTGTGTTTGTCAAGGAGAGAAGGTAAGAATTAGAAATCATGGCTGGGAAAGGGAATTTATACTTTATTCATTTTCGAATTGGATTATTTTTAGCATGTATATATACTACATTTTTCATAAAATAGAAGATTTGATTTCAAAAAATTATATATATACAAGCAAGTATTAAATATATCTAAGAAAGCATACATAACATTTGTTAAATATTTCATTTTAATGGTTGTTAACAATATGTTTCTAAAACTTTCTTGATCATGAGAATCACTTGGGATACTTATTGAAGACACAGATTCACAGGCCTCTCTTCTGTAGATTTCAGTAGAGTAAACTTAGGGGTAGCTCAGGCACCTGTGTCTAGAACTATCACCAGTCTCCCATTCCCCTACAGCTGGGTATTAGTTTTGCTTTGTACATAACAATTAAAAACCCTATTTCCTTTTCATTTCCTTCCATAAACTTATTAAACAGAAGAATCTTCCAATCTGTATTTTTCTTACACCTACATTTTGGAGAAGATAGCTACCCCTCTAAACTGTAACAGGAGTTTCTCCTTTTTTTTCACACATGGGTAGGTTCCATATCCATTTAATGATTTTTGCTCTGATGGCTTTGATCCTGTCTTGCCCTGGATTGATTCACCTTCAACATTGTACAGTCCCACAACAGGAACTAATGTGAAAGGGACCACAGATAATTATTTGATACTTTCCAAACATTATTCCATTTAATTTCATAACTCCTTGGAAGTATGGAGTTTCATAACTCCTTGGATGAGGAAATTAAGGCTCAGCAGTTACATAATTTATGTATCACCACAAACCTAGTAGTGATACATTTGAAGCCAACTAGGATTCCGAAGTTCTTGTCTTTCAACTGCACCATCCTGGCTATACTTATAAAGTGCTTGCAGTACATAATGTATGCAGGAGTTAGACTGGTCCTATTTCCTAAACTTCCATCTTAGAGTACTTTTAGGCATATGAAAGTAAAAGTAGGCTAAATCGTTCATTTTAATACAAATGATGCACTTTCCAGAATGTGGTTCCTTCCCCTTAATGTTTAAAAATGAGGGCTGGTGATTATTTTCAGCTTTGTGTAGAGCTTTTTGTTTTCAAAATGGTGAAAATCTTAATTAATTACATCATTTTAAGGTTATTTGAAAGAGAAATTCAATATGTTCACGTAATGCCTTTCCTTAACTCCTAAGAAGAAGGAATCTACTTAGAAATACAAAATTTGAATTTAATGTTTGAGATGGGGCTTATATACAAGATTATATTCTTCCAAAACAAAGGGAAAAGCAATATGGTTAGTATTACACAATCTTTAAAGCCATTTGAACCTAGCTATTTGATTACAATAAAATGACCAGCCAGTTATTTTTTAAATTAACCCTTTAGTGTTACCTGAATCTTTTCTTGAATTTGCTTATTTTTCTAGGTATTTCCAAGATGACTAAATTAACTCGCCTCAGCATAAATAATAATCTTCTCACTGGTTTGGAACAGCATACCTTTGATAATATGCTTCATCTTCACTCCCTTTCTCTTGAGAACAACAGAATCACTTCATTGAGTGGTTTACAAAAATCTTTTACTCTTGTTGAGTTATACATAAGCAATAACTATATTGCTGTCAATCAGGAGATGTACAATTTAAAGGTAATCATCTGGGGTAGTAATTTTTTTGTTTTTTAAAATATGTATTGTTTCTTTATATTATGAAAGTAATGCATGTTTACTGCACAGAATTTGGAAAATATAAAGAAAATAAAAATAAGAATAACAAGGTTATTAAAATGTATTTGCATTCAATTTTGTATACATACAAATATATATCTGTGTATACATAATGTCCCCATTTGCTATCCTTCTGGGGTAACTTTTTTTAATACTCAAGTATGATAAACCAAACCTATTCCTCCTAACTAGTGCCTTCTTCATATTTCCAGGGATTCTTTAGCATTCTCCGGTTCTCAGTACAATTCTTGATGATCTCTCACTGTTCTCTTACCGGTGGCTCAAATTCGGTCACCTTTGCTCAGATTTGCTTTCTTTAATTCCCCCAAAGAAACCACTAATTTAAGGCTATTGTGTAATAGGATTTACTAAAGGTTTGAACAAAACATAGGGTTTCTATAGCACAGAACAAGAATCGACTTCAAATGTCATGTTTGACTTCATTGTTTCTAAAGTTCAGTGGCCATTTTCTAACACTATGGGTCTTACACTGGCCTCTCCTTTTGCTGATACAATATTACTAGGACTTTATCTCCTACCAAAAACTTGTGTCCATTTCCTGTCTTTTCTTAGTTCAGACTTCTCCCCAGTCTATTCCCCCAATATAATTACTACTTGTAGAGCTAGGGAGGCAACCTAATCAACAACACCAGCAACACAATAAGCCATTTCACATTATGATGCACAGTAGTTATACTCCCTCTTGTCTTCACCTCTCCCTTCCATACCTACCAAGACCCTTCCTTCACAACAAAGGCATATCAAAGTGTCTTGTCTAATAAAACAGCACATTTCCCTTAGGATGAATTCTACTACCCTCTCAGAAAGTAGAAGCAGTTCAGTTTCATCGCTTTTCAAAAAGCAGTGTCTTTTATTCCTGTTATATCTATATAGACACATACATCCATTTATTAAGCCACTATTCCATAAACAAAGTGTATTTGTCTTTAACATAGCAAAGTTCTCTCTAAGCCCTTACCATTAATAGATAATACATTTGGCACTAGTATCCTAAAAGAGACTCTGATTTTATAACATAGACCATTGAAATATTGCACAGAATTATACCTTAGTGGTCTGAAAGGGTAACGCTTGCTCTTAAAAGTGTACTTAGGCTGGGTATGGTGGCTTATGCCTATAATTTCAGCACTTTGAGGCCATGGTGGGAGGATCACTTGAGCCTAGGAGTTTGAGGTTGCAATGAGCTATGATCTGACCACTGCACTCCAGCCTGAGCAACAGCATAAGACCATGTCTAAAAAAAAAAAAAGTACTTAAAAGCACTGAAATCCCATGGAAAGATAGCTAATATAATTCCAATATTAAAATTTGAGGATGGCTAACCTCTTACTAGAGCGCTTTAAATATACACATAGATAAATATATGTATTTTATTACCTAGGGTTTATGCAACTTGGTCATTCTAGACATGTGTGGAAACATTATTATATGGAATCAAGAAAACTACCGGTTGTTTGTAATATTTCATCTTCCAGAACTGAAAGCTTTGGATGGGATATCAATTGTAAGTTGTTTTACGACTCATAACATTTGGTCTAAGCTGCAGTCACATATTCATAGGACATAGTCATTTTGAACATTGCTTTATCACTAGCATGATAGCCAAATTTACTATACTTGTAATCTAAGTCTCCAAAGCTTATTTTAGATCTGGGTTTTTTAATTTTGTCATCTGGTCAATTCTTAATTGTCCGAATTGTGGTGGAAGGGGAGGGTTGTGCTGCTTACAATAGAACCCATTGAATTCAGTGCCTAAAAGGTAAAGAACACAATTTTATGGGGCAAGATAGAAAAATTATGCACTGGAGCTTTACCATCCTCTTAAGCCTAAAAGCAGCTTTCTATTTTCAGTGAAAATATAGTTGCTAATATTAATAATTAATAAAAATATATTTGAACCAACAAACGTGGTATGTCAACATTACTAAGTAAGCTGTAAAGAAAACCAGACACAGACCCTAGGACTGAATGTGAAAGCAACATTTGGATACTTGGATTCTATAACGAGCAAATTCACAGGGCTCCTGTTTTCCACATAACAGGGTAAATGCGTGACAAATGTGTAAAGAGTAAAAGGTTTCCCTGTGTAATGTTGCCTAGCTCCTATCAGAGAAGAAAACACATCAAATTTTCTAGAAAATTGAAAGATAGTTCATGATCATTTAGTATTCTGAGGTACTCCGAGAAGATTACTAATCCTAGCCCTTCTGTTTTCTGGACCCTCCTCAGAATGGGTCACTAAAACTTTCTCACTCCAACACATACAAATTCCCTAGAACCTTGTATACTGGGCTTTATTCAGTTGTTAGCTTTCACTGAAGAATGTTTTTTAAAATACTCCTATGAGACCAGTACTGCATTTACTCTAAAGATGTTGAGGATCTTATCTGTCCTATCTCTCTGTGACCTCATTTGAAGGGCTACATGAGAAAGCACTTATAGAAATAAATGTAAGAAAAACATTTACTCCTAAGGAAAAGTTACATTCTGCTCACTGACAATGAGTGTATTAGTCTCAACTCATGCTACTAAAAAGACATATCCAAGACTGGGCAATGTATAAAGGAAAGAGGTTTAATGGACTTACAGTTCCACATGGCTAGGGAGGCCTCACAATCATAATGGAAGACAAAGGAAGAGCAAAGTCATAGCAGCAGGCAAGAGAGCATGTGCAGGGGAACTCCCCTTTATAAAACCATCTGATCTCATAAGACTTATTCACTATCATGAGACAGCATAAGAAAAACACAACCCCATGATTCAATTACCTCCCACTGGGTCCCTCCCATGACACGTGGGGATTATTATAATTCAGGGTGAGATTTGGGTGGGGACACAGGGCCAAACCATATCATTCCACCCCTGGGCCCTCCCAAATCTCATGATCTAACATTTCAAAACCAATCATGCCTTCCCAACGGTCCCCCAACTCATTTCAGCATTAGTTCAAAATTCCACAGTCCAAAGTGTGAACTGAGACAAGTCAAGTCCGTTCTGCCTATGAGCCTGTAAAATCAAAAGCAAGTTAGTTACTTTCTAGATACTATGTGGGTACAGGCATCGGGTAAATACACCCATTCCAAATGGGAGAAATTGGCCAAAACAAAGGGGCTACAGGCCCCATGCAAGTCCAAAATCCAGTGAGGCAGCCAAGTCTTAAAGCTCTGAAATGATCTCCTTTGACTCCATGTCTCACATCCAGGTCACGCTAATGCAAGAGGTGGGCTCCCACAGCCTTAGACAGCTCCACTCCTGTGGCTTTGCTGGATACAGCCTCCCTCCCAGCTGCTTTCACAGGGTGGCATTGAGTGTCTGTGGCTTTTCCAGGTACACAGTGCAAGCTGTGGGTGGATCTACCATTCTGGGGTCTGAAAGATGGTGGTCCTCTCCTCACAGCTCCAATAGGCAGTGCCCCAGTGGGGATTCTGTGTGGGGTCTCCTACCCCACATTTCTTTTTGGCACTGCACTAGCAGAGGGCAGCAGGCTTCTGCCTGGACATCTAGGCATTTCCATACACCCTCTGAAATCTAGGCAGAGGTTCCCAAACCTCAATTCTTGACTTCTGTGTACCCACAAGACCAACACCATTTCAAAGCTGCCAAGGCTTGGGGCTTGCACCCTATGAAGCCATGGCTTGAGCTATACATTGGCCCCTTTTATCCATGACTGGAGTGACTGGGACACAGGGTACCAAGTCCCCAGGCTGCATACAGTAGGGGGGCCCTGGACTGCTCCAGGAAATCATTTTTTCCCTCCTAGGCCTCCAGGCCTGTGATGGGAGTGGCTGCCATGAAGGTCTCTGACATGCCCTGGAGACATTTTCCCCATTCTCTTGGTGATTTGCATTTGGCACCTTGTTACTTATGCAAATTTGTGTAGCTAGCTTGAATTTCTCCCCAGAAAATGGGTTTTTCTTTTCTACTGCATCATCAGGCTGCACATTTTTCAGACTTTTGTGCTTTGCTTCCTCTTGAACACTTTGCTACTTAGAAATTTTTCACCAGATATCCTAAATCATCTCTCTCAAGTTCAAAGTTTCACAGATCTCTAGGGCAGCGGCAAAATGTCACCAATCTTTTTGCATAGCAAGAGTGACCTTTAATCCAGTTCTCAACAAGTTCCTTATCTCCATCTGAGACCATCTCAGCCTGGACCTTATTGTCCATATCGCTATCAGCATTTTGGCCAAAACCATTCAACAAGTCTCTAGGAAGTTACAAACTTTCCCACATTTTCCCATCTTCTTCTAAGCCCTCCAAACTGTTCCAACCTCTGCCTGTTACCCAGTTCCAAAGTCACTTCCACATTTTTGGGTATCTTTACAGCAGCACATGACTCTACAATTTACTGCATTAGTCTGTTCTCATGCTGCCAATAAAGACGTACCTGAGACTGTGTAATTTATAAAGGAAAGAAGTTTAATGGCCTCACAGTCCCACATGGCTGGGAAGGCTTCACAATCATGGCAGATGAAGGAAGAGCAAAGGCAGGTCTTACATGGTGGCAGGCAAGACAGCATGTGCAGGGGAACTCCCCTTTATAAAAGTATCAGATTTCATGAGACTTATTCACTATCATGAGAACAGCACAGGAAAAACCCACCCCCGTGATTCACTTAGCTCCCACTGGGTCCCTCCCACAACAGGAGGGGATTATTACAATTCAAGATGAGATTTTGGTGGGAACACAGAGCCAATCCATATCAATGAGTATTATTTAATTATATTCCTTTTCACTTTACCTAAAAGCTCAGGACCAAATTTATGATTCAATAATATAAACCCTATAGGATCTTATAGTCTTTTTGTCACTAATCCTAGTGAGCTTGATTTTCATTATGTTTGATTTGCATTTTACTCTTTGATTATATGTGTTTCCTGTAAGCTGCCACAAATTATTTGTGGAATGAGGCAGAATATAAATGTATGAATTAATAATTGGACATCTTGAAGACTAGACTGAAGAATTTAGATTTTAAATGCAAGGTAATGGGAATGCATTGGATTTGAAGGGCAAGGGAAAGGAAGACTGAAAGATGTCTACAAGGTTTGAGTCTATGCCAATAAAAGACACCATAACAGAATATGAATATAGGAAGAAAAGCAATTTGGGGGTGTAAGATGATTAGTATTGGACTTTAGTTTTATATGGAGATCATCTGACTGGAGATGTCAAGCAGGCAGTTGAAATCACAGGATTAAATTTGTATATGAAAATTTACTTTACATATGTTTGGACTTGAATGTAATTTGAAGAGAGTTAACAGTTAAGACCAAAAGCATATGCAATATCATCTAATGAAAGAGAGTAGAGAAAGTAAAGAAATCTAAGTGAGGCTCTAATACTTGCATTTATTAAACATATGTAGAAAAAGAAGTCATGAAAAGTGGGTGCAGAGGTAGGTAATACAGTAATATATAATGCTAGAGTGTCTGAGATATAAATAGACTTTGGAAATGGCATAGTCAAAATCCTTTATTTTATGTATGAACACAAGCAACTCTAGAGAAGTTACATGACTTCTTCCAAATTATATGACTGTTTAATGGCAAATCATAGGCACATAAGCCTCATTCTCTGTCCAACACTCTCCAGATATATAATTACATTGTCTTCTTTGGAGTGGGAGTAGAAACCCAGGGAGGGCATAGACTAGGAGGAACCAAAGAACGATTTGGGTAGTTGTGTTTTCATTTTATCTTTTGTTCCCACATACTTTTATTTTTAAAAGATTATTTTTTGCATTAAGGATACATATTCTCAATTTAGATATGAAGTTTTAACAGAGTAGAAAAAAAGAAGGGAGTTTGAGTAAAAGTAGATCAAATGACTTACCAGTTTTATTTAGATCAAGTTCAAACCATTTGTCTGAAATAGATTGTCAACAATAGCCCTTGGGCCAAATGTGACCTGCCACTTATTTTTGTAAATAAAATTTTATTGGAACACATCCATGCCTGTTTGTTTATATATAGTCTATGACTGCTTTCACACTGCAGTGGCAAAATTAAATAGTAACAGAGAAGCTAGTGTTCCCAAAGGCTAAAATATTGACTGACTCTTTACAGGAAAACTGCAGAAAACATTTACCAATCCCTGATTTAGGAGGACACTAATCATATGTTGCTTGTATAATTATGAAAAACACAAAAGCAATGGTATTTCTAAGGCTGAATTAATGTTTTTAAAACTTATTTTGAGATTTTATTATTGAAGATTCAACAAGAGAAACAGAACTAGTAAGACAGATATACATATAGAGATATCTATGTCTATATATAGATATATAGATATCAAGGAATATTTAATAATGGAGGGGACTGCCTAAACAAGTCTGAAATCCATAGGACAGGCCATCAGGAAGCGAAGATTATGGGCAGGCTGGGGCTCACAGGCATAGATGAAAGCTGCTGTCCATGAGTGGATTTTCTTCAGGAAAATTCTTTCTTTCAGGAACCTCACCTCTGCTTTTAAAGCCTTGCAATTGTTTGAATCACGCTCATCCAGATTGTTCAAGATGATCTCCTTATTGAAAGTCAGCTTGCTAGGAGCTTTAATTATGTCTACAAAATTCCTTCACAGCAATACCTACATCATTGGCTAAAATAATTGGGGACTCTAGCTCCAAATATTTTGCAGCTCTGTTGTTGGTACATACACATTTAAGACTGTTATGTCTTCTTGGTGGACTGACCCTTTTATCAGTAGGTAATGTCCCCTCTGACTCTGGTAATTTCCTTTGCTTCAAAGTTTACTTTATCTGAGGTTAATGAAGCCACTCCTGCTTTCTCTTGATTAATGTATAGGATATCTTTTTCTGTTCTTTTACTTTCAACCTGCATATATTATATTTGAAGTGAGTTTCTTGTTGACAACATACAGTTGGATCATGTTATCTTTTAGCTAATTTTTATATTTTAATTGATGAACAAAGGCCATTTATATTTAATATAGTTAACTGGCCTGTTAGGGCTTAAGTCTGCCACTTTGTTTTCTTGTTTTATATTTGTTTCCTTTGTTTATCTTTCTTCTGTTTTCTTTTTTTGTGCCTTCCCGTGAGCTTCTTGAACACATTTTGAAATTCTATTTTTATTTATCCATAGTGTTTTTTGGTGTATCTCTCCATATAGTTTTTTTTAGTGGTTGTTCTAAGTATTACAATGCATATACATACTTTATTATAGTCTGTTAGGGTTGACATTTTACCAGTTTGAGTAAAGTGTAGAAATGTTACTTTCCTTTCAGTCTATTTCTTCTCCCCTGTTTATATTTTCACTATATACATTGAGAACCAATGAGACAATATTATAGGGTTTTTTTTACATCAATTAATCAAAGATAATTTAGAAAAATCAAGAAAAGAAGGGAAGTTTATTAATACTCTTTCCATTGTGCTTTCCTCTTTCCTGGCATTCCAAGATTCCTTTTTTTTTCTTTCCATTTCAAGAACTTTCTTTAGTCATTTCTTAAGGTAGGTCTGCTGGTAACAGTTTGCTTAGTTTTCCTTCCTTTGAGAATGTCTTGCTTTCTCTTTTTATTTCTGAATGATATTTTCCCTGGATATACAATTCTGGGTTGATGTTTCTCTTTCACCACTTGAAAATGTTGTGCCACATCCTCTGGTTTCCATGCTTTCTGATTAGAAATCTGCTGTCACTCACATTGTTTTTCCCTCACAGGTAAGATTTAATTCCTCTGTCACTGTTTTCATGCCTTTTTTCTCTGTCATTAGTTTTTAGAAATTTGATTCTGATTATTATTACGTGTCCTTGCATGAATTTGGGTTTTTTTCCCATCTGAGGTTTGATTAGATTCTTAGCTTCTTGGTTTATGTCTTTTGCCAAATTTGGAAGATTTTTGGTTATAATTTCTTCAAATACTTTTTCAGCCCCACATTATTTCTCTCCTTTTTCTATGAATCTAGTGATACTAATATTAAATCTTTTGTATGGTTCTGCAAGTACAGGATATGTCTGTCTTGGTAAAGTGAGGCTCATTTATTTATGGGTCTATTTTCTCTCTTTTGTTCATACTGGGTAATTTCTATTGTTCTGTCTTCAAGTTATTTTTTTCTCTTTTCTCTCCATTCTGCTACTGAGTCCCTATCCATTGCATTTATTTCTTTATAGTATTTTTCAATTCTAAAATTTTCATTTCATTCTTCATATCTTCTATTGCTTTGCTATCACTTATCTCTTTGCTAAAGGTTTCTGTTTTTTCATTTGTTTCAAGTATGTTCATAATCACTTGTTGAGCATTTTTCCTTTGACTGCTTTTAAATGCCTGTCAGACAATTAAAAATATTTGTATCATTTCAAAGTTGGCATCTGTCGATTGTCTTTTCACATTCAAGTTGAGATGTTATTGGTTCTTAGCATGACATATTTTTTGTTTTATTCTGGACATTTGGGGTATTATGTGGGTCTTATTTAAATCTATTTTAGCAAGCCTCCCCTTGACACTATACCAGTGAGAAGATGGGGAACCACTTCATTGCTGTCAGGTGGGAGATAGAAGTCCAAGTTCCTCCATGTGGCCTCTGTTGACAACCTGGAGGTGTGTTCTTCATTAACTGCTAGGCTAGAGTAGGAGTTCATGCTCCCCACCAGACTTCCATTGATTTACTCGGGCTGGGAAGTAAGGAACTCCTTGTTACTATTTCCCTCCACTGATTCATCCTGGCTGGGAGAGACAGGAACACCTAATTGATGCTCCACAGATAACTCATTATGAGTGGGTGGAAGTGGGAATCCAGACTCCCCATGTTATCTACAATAACACTTGCAGGTAGGGAGTGGGGCCATGTGTTACTGCTGATGGGGGATGAAAGTCCAGGTTCCCACTCAGCAGGTGGATAATGGAGAAATGCCTTGTTACAAATGAGCACAGGTTAAAGTCTAAGCAACCCATTCTGCTTTTACTTGTGGGCATGAAGTTGGGGCCACAGTTTATTCTGTAGGGTTTAGCAGGAGTAGGCTTATTATTGTCTAAAGTTTTCTGCTGTGCTAGGCTTCCCCCTTCCTGATCCTTTGACTAGAGACAGTAGGCATTTTGTGTACTTTGTCTTGTTTTTTTCTTATTGTCATTTCTGGGTTTCTAGCTTCTCTAGCACCCAGTAGAGAAGGTGAGGCGAAAAGAAAATCCAGAGTGTCATTCCTCAGGTCCTGAAGTACCTACCTGGTCTGCTGCCTTCTCCACATCTTTCAGTATTCATATGTTTGGTTTTAATTTTTTTAATTAAAAAATTTTTTAGAGACAGGGTCTCACTCTGTCACCCAGACTGGAATCCAGTGGCATGATCATAGCTCACTGCAGCCTCTGAACTCCTGTGCTCGAGACATTCTCTGGCCTCAGCCTCCCACATAGCTACAACTACAGGCATGTGCCACTGTGCTTGACTAATTCTTTTTTGCTTTTGTAGAGACAGGGTCTCACTTTGTTGCCCAGCCTCATCTCGAACTCCTGGACTCAGGCAATCCTCCCACCTTGGCCTCCCAATGTGCTGGGATTATAGGTATTAGCCACCTTGCCCTGCATATGTTTGTTTTATATATAATGCACAGGATTTAGTTCTACTTAGTAGGAGGAATCTGGAAAAATAAGTCCACTGAATTTTTACCTGAAATCAGAGAACTACGTAATTTAGTCATCTGTAAGACAGGACATCATTTTGTAAATGCCTTCATATAGGAACCACCAGAGACTGAGAATGCAAAAGATTTGTTTGGTGGTAGACTTACTTCTGACATGATTGCAGAACGACAAGGACATTCCAACTTCATGCAAATGCAAGAACTAAATTGGACTTCATCATCCATTAGGTACAATCATTTTATTATATGCCTTTTTACATTATAATTACATTATGTAATTATCATTTTTCTGAAGCTTATAAATGTATACATCTTATATAAATATAATAAATAACTCATAAAATTATCTACTCTACTGCAAAGGTTCATGCTAAGTAATGCGTGTTTTTTAAGATGGGGTCTCAAAAAATGGCTCACTGCAGCTTCAACCTTGCAGGCTCAATCGATCCTCCTACTATAGGCACATGCCACCAAGCATGGCAAATTTTCTTTGTATTTTTTGTGGAGACAGCATTTATGCCATCTTGCCAGGCTAGTCGCCGATCATGGGCTCAAGTGGTTCACCTGCCTCAGTCTCCCAAAGTGCTGGGATTTCAGGTGTGAGCCACTGTGCCCAGCCTAAAATTAAAAATTCCTTTGTATGGCATAAAAGACCCTTTATTATCTGTCTATTATTATCTATTGTAGTCCTTTTCTTTACTGCCCATGCACTTCATATTTCAGGAATTCTGAAATATTCTAGTTACTGAAGCTCAATCATAAGATATTTTTTCATGTTTGTTCCTGCCTTTGTTTGTACCTGTTGCACTGCCTAGAACTCTTTTCTGCTAATTTGCTCGACAAATACCTACAAATGCTCCAAATATCATCTCAAGATCTTTCTGCTCCATGCTACAGATTCTATTTCCCCGAAATGCCATTACACTGGTATGATAGAGATGCTAACTCTATCATAGCAATTCTCCTCTTTATTTTCATTTTTCTGGCTCCCTCTTCTTGGGGGCTGAAATGTTTCTTTCATCTTTCTTGTAGCCTTTCCAAACACATTCGCTGCACTTAGGAAATACTAATGAAATTATGTTGAATGAATGAATAACTTATTAATGGGTAAAAGTATGTCATTATTGTAACTTCAAGTTTAGGATTTGTTTAGAGAACTGGTTAGGGAAAGGGATGTAGTTTTATGCTCTTCTCTGTCATGGCTCAAATGAAGATACAGCTATGGACTGTGAATCAAGCATTCTGTTTAATTACCAAAATGTTCACACAGGGTGGAATGCAATAAAGGTTTCCAAAAGATCTCACAGAAACTCTTATTTTCAAAGCCCTTACCTGCTTTTCCTTTCCTTTCCCATCCCTAGCCACTTCCTGGTATTTCAGAAATGACCTGCTTCATATATATCATCTGAAGTTTATAACCTGAAAATCTTATGATTTACTATATCAACTTCACTATGATTTCATGAACATATATGTGAATTTATAAAGAAAGTGGAATGTTTCTTTTACAAGTTTCTTCTATAATAGTGCTATGTTTATATGGTAATAGATTTTTTTTTTAAAGCAACCAAATTCTATGTCACTTTCTTGCATATGTATCCAACCAAAATGTATATTCAGCTAATCATTTAACCAATTCATTTTACATTAAAGTAATTATTTTTATATTTGTCAGGTGAGACTTTTTTTTATGTCTTTGGTGGCTATATGTGAAGGAACTCACCTTTTCCTATATTTTCCTGTCCTATTAAAATAGTAACTGTATTTGTCTAAATTCAGAACAGTGGATTTGATTCCAGTCGACCAATTTAGAAATGTATGTAATGTGAATCTACAGAACAATAATCTTACTTCATTCAGTGGATTAATCTATCTACCTAATGTGAAGGTGAGTCATTCACAAATTTTTCTTTCTTTCAAGGTTTCCAATGCAAGTTTTTATCTTCTTTACTTTGGATTAAATGATAGTTCCACATTATTAAAGTAGATAAATTATTCCTAAATTTTCTTTGGGTTTTTTTGGTTTGTTTTTTTTACTAAGCAAGAAAAAAACTATTACCTTCCAAAGTGATTTTGCTTTGACCTCAGTTTTATGTGATTGTCACATATGTAGTAAATTTTCCTCTGTAGTCAGAGATGGGATTGAAGGCAGATATGGAAAGAAGTTTCTAGGTTCTTTAAATGGCCTTATTGCCTCCTTTATTATTTCCTTGACTCAGCCATCTACTAAGGCCTTTTAAACATAGATAAATAGCTGTCTCTTCGACTAAAAATTATTTCATCCTTGTCAGGTTTGGAGAAATCAGGAGTACAGACTGAGAAAGCTGAGGAGCTTTCTAGAGTCTCCATGTGAACTATTGTAATTTCCCAGAATGTCAGATTAAAAACACATTCAAAACTATGTCTAGATTATTTAGGATATAAACATTTGTTGTTTTAGCACTAATATATTATTAAATTATGTGGTATATGCCAAGTTTTATCCATACAATTTTTAATAATTTCCAGGATTTCTGATTAATAAGATATTCTTTCTGTAGGTCTTATGCCTCAACTATAATCATATTGAATCAATCATGCCCAGACTAAAGCCTCAGACTCACTTAACCAATAGACAACTACTGTACCAGAAAGTGCCTTCAAGTGGCTATGGACAGCAAGGAATTTCAAAAACAAACAGGTAGTATTCTTTATTTTTATGATTATAACTAATTTTGGCTGGGAATTTTAAAAGCAGTTAATCACATTAATGATAGCAGTAACACATTCCAGTACATAACATTTAGCTTATTGTAATACCTATTTTATTTATAGCTACATGCCAAAAATAAACTTCATAAATAAAAAGGTACTCAAAATATTTCTCTCATTGTTTATTCCCTGCCTTCTCCATTTCAAACCTGTATTGTGAACAAAGGGAAAAAAACAAAAAACAAACAAACAAAAGGCCTTGTACTGCATGTTTGGTGACCTTGGGTTTCTTTTTTAAAAATTGAGGTACAATTCACATACCATAAAACTCACCCTGTGTGTACAATTTAGCAATTTTTAGTTTATTCATCATAAACATTTTTATCAACCCACAAAGGAACCCTATACACAGTAGCATGGAAATGGTTTTTTTTTTTTAGCATTTGTTTTGCTTTTATTTCTAAATTATTTATCTGGTCACTTAATGACTCAGCACCAATGGAATATATACTTTACGCAAAAAATGAAGACAAACCTTCCACCTCCTTACATATTTTGATAGAACATATATATATCATATCATATAATACATATCATATATATGATATATATATTTATAATGTGTATCTCCAAATCAGAATACTTTCATTCCAGTTTTCCCAATAAAGAACATTCCTTGTGCTTTTTATTACCTCTATCAAAGTATAATTTCCATGCAACAAAATTGACCAATTTAAGTGTAAAGTTTAATGAATTTTGACAAATGTATTCAATCATAAAACCTCTACCACAATCAAAATACAAAGTATTCCCATTCCAAAAAGTTCATTTGTAATCCCTCCCCTGACACCCTGGCACCTGGCAACAACCACTAATCTGCTCTCTTGCTGTAATTTCTCCTTTTTCTAGAATTTCATATAATTGGAATTATGTAGTAAGTAGTTTTTGTGTCTGGCTCCTTTTACTTAGCATAATGCTTTTGAGATTCATTCATTTTGTTGCAAGTGTCAGTAATTTATTTCATTTTATTGCCAAATAGTATTCTGTTATATGTATTATATGACAAGTTATTTATGCTTTTATCATTGATGAACATTTTGGTTGTTCCTAATTTTAGGCTATTATGATTAAAGCTACTATGAACATTTCATTTATATACATACTTTTTTGGATCCTATTCATATTTGATTTTTCTAATAGTTTTATTGAAGTGGCAGTTTATGTATCATGTTTACTTATATTAAATGTATAATTCAATAATTTTACTAAATTTTTAGTTGTATAATCATAACTGCAATATAATTTCATAACATTTTCCATCTCACCAAAAAGATCCTTCATGTCTATTTACAGTCAATTTCCTTTCCCACCTCTAGTCCCAAACAACCTCTAATCTGTTTTCTAGAATTGTATCTTTCTAGACATTGCATATAAATGGAACTATAAAATAGGTGGTCTTTTGCCTCTGGCTTCTTACACTCAGCATGTTTTCAAGGTTCATTCACATTATAGGATGTGTTAGTAGTTCACTCCTTTTTATTGCTGAATATATTGGCTATTTCACTATGGATATGACTACATGGATATGTTACATAATGTTTATTCATCAGTTGATGGAAATTTGGATTGTTTCCACTTTTTGACTGGTTTGAATAACACTGCTTTAAACACTTGTGTACAAGTATTGCATATGAAAATTCTAATTCCTGCACATCTCTGCCAGTGCTTGCCTGTCTTTTATAGTATAGCCATTCTAATACATTCGAAGTGGTATCTCATTGTGGTTTTAATTTGTATTTTCCTAATGACAAATAGTGTTGAGCAGTTTTTCATATGCTTATTAATCATTCATATATCTTCTTTGGTAAAATCTCTATTCAAATCTAAAACCTAAAAAACCTAATTGTTTAATTAGGTTGCTTGGCTTTTCATTATTAAGTGTCTTTATACTGGGTGTAAGCCCTTTATTAAATAAATGATTTACAGACATTGTCTCTCAATCTGTGGCTTCTCTTTTCATTTTCTTAAATGATGTCTTTGAAGGAATTTTAATTTTGATAAAGTCTAATTTATCAACTTTTCTCTTACAGATTGCAATTTAGGTGTTATATGTAATAATTCTTTGCCTAACCTAAGGTCACAAAGATGTTCTCTTGTTTTCTTTAAAAAGTTTTATGTTTTCACTCTTACATCTAGTCCTATGATCTGTTTTGAGTTAAATGTTTGTGTATGTTGTGAGGTAGGAGTGAGGTCTAAATCTATTTTTGTATGTGGATATTCAGTTGTCTGAGCACCATTTTATTAGAACACTCTCCTTTCCTCTATTTAATTGTTTTGGCACCTTTGCTAAAAATCAGTTGAGCATAAATGTAAGGGTTTATTTCTGTACTCAGTTCTGTTCCACTGATCTGTATGTCTGTCCTTTTGTGCCAGTACTAGACTGGTTTGATTACTGTGGTTTTATAAAAAATTTTAAAATCAGTGATTTAAGCTCTCCAACTTTGTTCTTTTAAAAGATTGTTTTGACTATTCTAGATTCTTTACATTTCTTTAAAAATTTTAAGACAAGATGGTTATTCACAGTGAGTGGGGGGGATGTCTTCTGGGCTTTTGATAGAGATTGTATTAAATGAATCTGTTGATCAATTTGGGAGAATTGCCATTTTAGTAATATGGAATCTTCTAATCCATACACATGGAATATTTCTCTATTTATTTGGATCTTTGTTAATTTCTCTCAGTAATGTTTTGTAGTTTTCTGTGTACAGATTTTCCACTTATTAATTTATGCTGAAGTATTTTATTCTTTTTTATACCCTGTGAAAAAGAATTTTTGCTTAATTTCATTTTCAGATTTTTTATTGCTAGTAGGTAGAACATTCAGTTGATTTTTGTATATTAATCTTTTATCCTGTGACCTTGCTAAACTCCTTTATTGCTTCAAGTAGTTTTTTGGTGGATCTTTTTTTTTTTTTTTTGAGACGGAGTCTCGCTCTGTCGCCCAGGCTGGAGTGCAGTGGCACGATCTCGGCTCACTGCAAGCTCCGCCTCCCGGGTTCACGCCATTCTCCTGCCTCAGCCTCCCGAGTAGCTGGGACTACAGGCGCCCACAACCGCGCCCGGCTAATTTTTTGTATTTTTAGTAGAGACGGGGTTTCACCGTGGTCTCGATCTCCTGACCTTGTGATCCGCCCGCCTCGGCCTCCCAAAGTGCTGGGATTACAGGCGTGAGCCACCGCGCCCGGCCTTTTGGTGGATCTTTTAGGATTTTCTAAATACAGGATCATGTCATCTGAAAATAAAGACAGTTTTATTTATTCCTTTCCAATCTGGATGCATTTTTTTCTTGCCTGATTGCATTTTCTATTGATTTCATTGTAACACCTTATGTACTTCTTTATTCTAGACCATTCTTTTTAAAGAATATTACATAAAATATAAACAAGACTATGTATTATAGCTTAATTCTGATATATTAATAAATTTATATTTTCTTAACTTCAGTTTATAGTAAACACATACCGAACTGTCTTTTTATAATATACATGGTTTGAAGTTAAGTTTATGGCCTCAAACTTACCTATGTGTTTCAGAGACATAATGAGCAGTGAAAATTTGCCTCCAATAATGCACAGTTTAGAAGTTCTTCATTTGGGCTACAATGGAATTTGTAATTTGATCCAGCTACAACTTAACAGACTAAGAAATTTAAAATTCCTCTTTCTACAGGGTAAGTAGAAATACTGTTATTGTATAAGCCTTTATTTTTAAAAACTGATTTTATCATCATTCTGTTTTGATAAGCAAATATAAGCATCAGTATTTACTCAAACAGATTCACAGACAAAAATATTTTAGTAATCACAAATGAATTTTTCCTGGCTACTTACATACTTTTAGAAACCATTTTCAAAGGTCAATGCGGTATTCTGAGAATATAGACAGTATTACATCATAATTTACTTGTATATAGTATTCAACTTAAAAAACAATAAAAAAAACTAGTGGGTAATTCACAAGTATTTACTAAACTCAGAATTGTCATAAGTACTATGAAAGATATGGAGGTACTTTGTTATTATAATTATGTATCATTGAAATCCTTGATCTAAGTAGTTTAAGATCTATCTGTGGAGATGTACTGAGACAAAGATGAGTTAAGTTCAGACTATGTATTACTAACTTAAGTGCAACGGAAGTTCAGAGAAAAGAGAAATTAAAAGATTAGCTCGTCAACATGTATAGAGCTCTTTAAATGAGTGATAGAATCTAGACTGAAGGTGAGCATTACTGAGTGCTTTGCAAGCAGGGGAAAGGAGGAAAAGAGTCACAGGACATGACTGTGGTGTCTGTGGGCCAACACTTGAAAAGGGAACAACCTGATGAGAACAAAGAATATGCACTTTTCTAAGAGAGTTATAAATCCTCTAAACATGATCAATTTGATAAATAATCCTCATTTCAATATATGAGATCATGTTATTTAGTTTTTATTTAAATAAGCCTCATTACTTTACAGTAATTTTTAAGTTATACTTCAACTTCTGTGATACATGTGCAGAATGTGCAGGTTTGTTACATAGGTATACACGTGCCATGGTGGTTTGCTGCACCCATCAACCTGTCATCTACATTAGGTATTTCTCCTAATGCTTTCCCTTCCCTTGCCCCCCTGCTGCCTGACAGGCCCCAGTGTGTGATGTTCCTCTCCCTGTGTCCTTGTGTCCCCATTATTCTCTCCCACTTATGAGTGAGAACATGCAGTGTTTGGTTTTCTGTTCCTGTGCTAGTTTGCTGAGAATGATGGTTTCCAGCTTCATCCATGTCCCTGCAAAGGACATGAACTCATTCTTTTTTATGGCTGCATAGTATTCCATGGTGTATATGTGCCACATTTTCTTTATCCAGTCTAACACGGATGGGCATCTGGGTTGGTTTCAAGTCTTTGCTATTGTGAATAGTGCTGCAATAAACATATGTGTGCATGTGTCTTTATATTAGAATGGTTTATAATTGTTTGGGGATATGCCCAGTAATGGGGTTGCTGGGTCAAATGCTATTTCTGGTTCTAGATCCTTGAGGAATTGTGACACAGTCTTCCACAATGTTTGAACTAATTTACACTCCCACCAACAATTAGTAATTTTTAAATTTTGTATAATAGTGAAAAATTGAGGTTGAAAATATAGAGCAGGACCAAAGTAGGGAAAGTCAAGCAGAGAAATTTGTACAGGATATAGTCCATAATAGGTAGGAGCTTGAAACTTTAAGAAAAGTAGCATGAGAAAAACACAGGGCTTGGGACATTAGTCTAACAATAATTTTTAATGGCATAGGAGAAAGGCAGGTATATCCGTCAGTGGGACATGTGGGGAGATACTGAGGTAGTTGATCTGAGTACAGTAACTTCTCAAAGACAGGATTTTCTAGACCATATTTTTAAAAATTTGAATGCATCTATCAAAAGCACTTGTGATTTGGATCAAGAACCCGGAGACTTGGCCTTAAAACCAAGAAATTAAGCACAATGACAGATCTTTTTTTAAAAAAAAATTATTTTAGATTCAAGGGGTACATGTGTATTTTTGTTAACATGGTATTATGTTCTGGTGGGAATTGGGCTGCTAGTGTACCTATTGCCCGAACAGTGAATATAGTATCCAATAGCTAATTTTTCAACCCTCACCCCTACTCCCATTCTCCCCCTTTTTGCAGTGTACTTATTGTTGGAGTGTACTTACTGTGAATTTACTGCTTAGCTCCCACATGTAGATAAGAACATGCAGTATTTGATTTTCTGTTTCTGAGTTAGTTCACTGAGGATAATGGCCTCCAGCTCCATCCAGGCTGCTGTAGAGGGAGGGCATGATTTCATTCTTTTTTATGGCTATGACAGATTGGTATTTGTTTTCATGGTTTTTTTTGGTTTGTTTTTTGTTTTTGTTTTATTTTTTATTTTATTATTTATTATTTATTATTATTTTTTGAGAACGGGTTTCTCTCTATCACCCAGGCTGGAGTGCATTGGCACGATCATAGCTCACTGCAGCTTCAACCTCTGGAGCCCAAGTGATCCTCCCACCTCAGCCTCCTGTGTAGCTGGGACTATAGGCTTGTGCCACCATGCCTGGCTAATTTTTTTATTTTTCTCTCTTTTTTTGTAGATATGGGGTTTCAATTTGTTTCTCAGGTTGGTCTCAAACTCCTGGCCTTAAGAGATCCTTTCACCTCAGCCTCCCAAAATGGTGGGATTACAGGCATGAGCCACCACTCCCTGCCCAGATCTTTTAAAAGATACATTGACATACAAAAAAGCAGACAACCTAACCCTGGAAGGTCTATTTCAATCGAATAATGTAAGGGAGCAGTGTGTTCTGATGCCATGGCTAGCATGGCAAATTAGAGTACGGCAGCCTTATGCAGGAAGTAAGGCAGTTTACTCTGACAATAACAGCTGCCATTTGTGGAGTCAATGGGTAAGGTGTTTGTCTACATCATTGTCATATTTAATCTTCACAGCAACTCTACATGGTAAGGATTGTTACATGTATTTTACAAAAGAAAAAAGTGACATTCAGTGTGGTTTAATAATTTGCCAAGTTTGCACCAGTGTGTGTTATGGTACCAAGTCAAACCTAGATCTATCTACCTTCAAAGCACATGCAGTTTCTATCCAGCTTGAATGACATAATAAGGGCATAGACTAGAGTGCTGGCAGTGGGAGTGGTAAGAGGTGAGTCCAAAAGGCAGTTTAAAAGGAAGAAATATTAAGACTTAGCGGCTAATTAGATGTAAAATAAGGAGAAAAACTGTCCCAGATGTTTTTATAATTTCATTGGGAGATTGGGCAAGAGGAGGTACTAAAGCTAAAGTCATTGGGAAATGTTGCTTATTTGAGAGTAGAGAAAGATCAGTTTGTGTTGTAACAATTTTGATGCATTAAAAATAGAAAGTTGGCTGGGCGCAGTGGCTCACGCCTGTAATCTCAGCACTTTGGGAGGCCGAGGCAGGCGGATCACAAGGTCAGGAGATCGAGACCATCCTGGCTAACACGGTGAAACCCTGTCTCTACTAAAAATACAAAAAATTAGCCAGGCGTGGTGGCGGGCGCCTGTAGTCCCAGCTACTCGGGAGGCTGAGGCAGGAGAATGGCATGAACCTGGGAGGCAGAGCTTGCAGTGAGCCGAGATCCCGCCACTGCCCTCCAGCCTGGGCAACAGAGCGAGACTCCGTCTCAAAAAAAAAAGAAAGTTTTTCTAGCAATAGTACTGGACCACAAGTCAGGACTAGAGATATATTATTTTAGAATGATCACAATGGAAGTGAAAGGTGAAGTCATAAATGTATGTGCTTACTTAGGAAGTAAGCACACAGAAAGATGAGTGAAAGGCTGAAAAGAGCTTTGAAGACATTCTACCCCTTTCTCTGTATCCCTGTCAGCGTTTATTATTACCTGTCTTTTTGATAAAAGCCATTTTAACTGGGGTGAGATGATATCTCATTTGTATTTCCCTTATGATTAGTAATGCTGAGCATTTTTCCATATACCCATTGACCATTTGTATTTCTTCTTTTGAGAAATGTCTATGCATTTCCTTTTTCCTGTTGAGTTGTTTGGGCTCCTTATATATTCTGGTTATTAATCCCTTGTCAGATGGGTAGTTTATAAATACTTTCTCCCATTCTGTGAGCTATCTCTTCACTTTGTTGATGGTTTCCTTTGCTGTTCAGGAGCTTTTTAGCTTGATGCAATCCCATGTGTCTATTTTTGCTTTGGCTGCCTGTGCTTTTGACGTATTACACAAGAAATCTTTGCCAAGTCCGTTTTCATTTGATTTTTGTATATGATAAGAGATAGGGGTCAATTTTCATTTCTTCTGCATAGGGATATCCAGTTTTCCCCACACCTTTTATTGAAGAGACTGTCTTTTCCCCAATGTATGTTCTTAGCACCTTTATTAAAAAAGAGTTGACCGTAAATGTGTGGATTTATTTCTGGGTTGTCTATTCTGTTCCATTGGTCTATGTGTCTGTCTTTACGCCAGTTATTATGAGGACACTAGTCATATTAAATTAACGCTCATCCCAATGACCTCATTTTAATGTTAATTATCTTTTAAAGACCCTGTCTCCAAATACAGTCACATTTTGAGGTACTGGAGGTTAGGATTTTCACATATTAATTTCAGGGGGACACAATTCAGCACATAATAATCAAGGAGAATGAATATTGAATGAAACGTAGTGTGGCATACTAGGAAGATAATTGAGCTTAAAATGTAAAAAGTCTAAGTTAGGCCTGATATTGCCATTTTTATGTCTTTGAGAAAGCCACTTAATTTCTCTGACCCTCAATTTTCTGATTAGAAAAAAGAGATAAAATATTTCCCCTGTAGTATTTTGAGACTCTGACAGAAAATACTGTACATATAAAAAAATTTTGTAAAGTGAAGAGTCTTCATATAAGTTATCATTACTATTTATATAGCTATTGATAGCTACAATAGAGAGAAATCATAGGTTATAAATAAGGGTTTAGAGTTTTGAAGAATTAAATGAACTTTGATGTGTTTAATATGGTTGCAGTGCAAAAATATGAGAAAGAACAGCATAATTAATGGTGTTCTAACATAATACAACAAATTAGTCTATTTTAAGAAATAATTAAATATACTATTGTAATGTCTATTAGAGTAATAATATACTCAGGAAGCATATGTTTTGCAGCACTTTTCTGTATCTACTTTTGTCAATACCAACTATTTTAACAATTACTGAACAGACATATTAGATCATTTCAGTACATTGTGTACATCACATCCTGATCTTTCAAATTCACAAATGAGAAATTTTAGCAAATATTATTTTATGATGATGCTACCTTCCTGTAAATTACATTTCAATTTCTCTTTGGAAATAAGTTTCTTGAATCCTTTACTTCTTTTGAAAAATCATCTGATTAAAAGATATTTATATGTAAGTAGATATCCTTTAATTCAGGAAGTTTGGGCTCACTTGATATATCATGACTTCTTTCTTTTTAGGTAATGAAATCAGCCAAGTTGAAGGGCTTGACAACTTAGCAGTCCTTCAGGAATTGGTAGTGGATCATAACCGCATCCGATCATTTAATGACAGTGCTTTTGCCAAACCAAGTTCTTTATTGGCACTTCACTTGGAAGAAAACAGACTACGAGAACTGGGCAAATTACAATCTTTGGTTAAACTAGAGAAACTCTTCCTAGGATATAATAAAATCCAGGTAACTGTTATTTTTTTATTATGGGATTTACAAGCTTTAGTTTCTCTGAGTTCTGAACATAAAGCTTCCAAGAACATCAATGAAAATGTTGCTAGTATGTTATTTATCATTTATGTACCATCTATATTTCAAGGCATAGAAATAGTCTGTGATGCAGAAATATTCACCCTACTTCTAGACTTAAGAACTGGACAAAGCCACATGCACAAGCTCATTAACAAAGGTTAGTTCTACATGTTCTAAGGCTCTTCTCATCAGTCCTCTCTGAGAGTTCTCATTTGTTCCTTGACTGCTCTTGATCCAAGTTGTTTCTGAATCTTGATTCTGGACTTCCTTTGGCCCCTTAAACTTATCATATGTACTTGTTCTACCCAGCATTTGAATCAACTCCTGATAACGGACTTTGACTCGGCTTTAATGTTATATCTCTCCCCACTCAAGGCTTCCTTAGATAGGATCCTGGCTTAGTTTTACCTGCTGAGAATTTAACCTGTTACTTTTAGGTCACCGCCCCAACTGAACCGCTCAGACTCTCTCCTGAGATAGCATACAGATAAGAGTTGAAGACATAACCTTATACAGCCCTCACATTTCTCTCAGCATTTCTGTGGTGGTCTCTTAGCTCTCCTTTTACCAGCTTTTCTACTTCTGCCAATACCTCTAAGATAGCCTCAAAGACAGACTGAACTCTGGACTAACCGCCAAGGGCAGGCAGCAAGTCTGTCTTGTCTACATTTGTATCAGTATACAGCATAGTACCCAGTACATAATAGATCCTCCATAAACATTTGTGGCTCTACTTGCTATAGAGTTCAGGAAGCCTTTTCTGGGGGTGATTTTTTAAAAGCCCTGGACAAGGTTAGAAGGAAATCATGAGCCATGCCCCTTTCTACAAAGCAATTAGGGAATGTACATACAGATAAAAATAGTATACAACTAATTTATACAGATTCAAACATTCATCTGAGAAAAGCCTGCCAAAACTGGGGATGATTCTTCCTAAGATTTATCAAGAAGAAATCTAAATTAGGAAAATTGCCCTTCTATGAAGATCTTTCCAGTGATAGCAACTGAGCTAACAAAAAAGACTGTCAACTCAGACTTAACACTCATCAGAGATCTTACCTGGTATCGAGCTTTATAAATAATTTCAAGGACACACAGGGCCCAGGACATGCCTAGTGCCTTCTCAGGCCCTTCCTTCCCCCATCACACACACCACCGAGCTTAGAATAAAATGTGAGGTCTTCAAGTGAGATTCCACGAGGTGATCTTATACAATAAGGGAGTGTGTTTCATTTACGAACCATCTCCATTTTAAACTTGAAATTATGTGACATTTTACAGGGATCCATGCCTTATAATTCTATAGATTCTAGGTTTATTTATTACAGGCAGTCCTTAACCAAGAAGATCTGCTAAGAGAATATTATAAATGAGGACCGCTAAGAGAATATCATAAATGAGGACCTTCTTCCTAGCAAGTATAATTGCTTTATTTGACAGGATGTCCAGTTACCAGATTAGACCTGGTAACCTGCTTTTCCACAAGAGTGTCCCTGCTCTCTACTCCTCTATCCCTCTTAAGCAAATGAATCGATAGAGATCAGCTGGTATAACAACTATACTTAGTCAAGCTTATTTATTAACAAAATCTAATATAGCTAAATGACAACTTATATATCATGAGAGATTCTACATATCATTGAATGAAGAAGTAAGTATTATTATTTAATGATCATCCCTTATTTGTTTTATTTTTATCCTTGAAATGGTATTTTCCATTGAATTTAGATAGATCATTTTGCCTTTAAGCTTATTCTAACCATTAATATTATAGTACCTTAATGTGCCCATACATTTAGATGGGGAAAAAATGAACTCAGAGGAATAGAAAGGTTATGTTGGAAATTCTGTTGAATTCTACTGAAAACATATTTTCTTCAAACTTCTGAACTCTCCTTTCAAATTTTATTTTTAAGAGAGATTCTGTCTCTAGATTCATACCAACATGGGCAGGCTGATACCAGCATTAATTTCAACAAAGGGACAATCAGATAACTTTGGGTTAATAAAAATTGATAGAAGGGAGAAAGCCTAGAAAAATTAACAAAGGAACAATATTTCAAGTGAAGGTATATGCAGTCCCTCGTTGGCCTACTTTAACATCCTTCAGAAGCTATATCCTTGATAAAATATAATACATACCCTTGATTCTGGTGTGATGCTTTTTACTTAGCCATCATGTCCAATAATATAGATTTAGCAAATTGTTGTCTATGGTCTTGCTTCTAAAGAAAGAATCACACAAACACAATTGAAAGATTCATTATTTAATTCACCTTTATAGTACTGTTTGATCCCTGTGTCTAAATGATTCCCCTACCTGGCATCCAGCTACTCTGTCTACTTTTAAACATATAATTAATCACCTGAAGCTGAAAAGAACCCTAAGAATAGTCTATTGCTATTTCCTGTCCTCAGTGAAGGCCCCAATCCAGGCACAATTATTATTATGATTGCCTTAAGTACTTACGCTGACATTGTAACTACCATTGGTATCCTGGTTAATGCTTAACAACTGGCTCTCCAAGAGGAAAAAAGTCCCTGATGAGTAACGTTTGCCAATTTCTATGGTATAATTTCTTCTGTCATAGCCAATTTCAGGCTAACACACCATCTCACAAAATTCCTAAAAATTTACCAGTTGACTTTTTGTGAGCCAGTAGCAGCACACTACTGTAAAAAATAATGCTGCATATTAAAAATGGGAAGCCATCAGCCCTCTCCCCCCAATTATGGACATATTAGTTTCCCTGATGTCTCTCTAAAAGTTTATGCCATCATTATCTTCTACAAATTTAATAGTCTATTTCCCATATTAACATTTTCTGTGAAAACAGAAATTTTGATTAGGAATATTTCACTAGTGACTACTGTTATGTTTGGTTTAATTTAAGAAAATAATGTAAGACTTTTCACATGTCCGTGATTACCGATCAGGCCTTGGTTCCACAGACAGAAACTGCCTGTGGGTAAAAATGCACAATATCTCTATAGATTTACAGATTTTTCAAAACCCTCCTTTATGATACTTCCAAAATCAAAAGAGTAAAGATCGGTCATTTTAAAAATCAAATTCACTTCCAAATGATCTAAAATATGTCTAAATATTTTTACACATACTAGAAGAATTTGCTATATGTCCACTTGTAATTCCACAAAGGAATACACGCATGTCAATAACTTTGTTGTGTTACATGAACTAGCAACAACTTTAGGCTGAGCTTGTTGACTAAAGTTTGTCAGAAATAGCATTTTAGAAATAATTTTGCAAAAACTAAAATATATTTGCAAACTTTCACCAATGTTAAATGGAAGCTAATAAATAATGCTATGCAATGGAGAAGGCAAATTATTTAACATGAGAGATAGTTTTTCAGCTATATATATTCCCAGCAAGTATATCAAAATGCAATCCACTCAATAGCACACATTCTTTTATTGTTAAGGTTGTGTTTAGTTATGTACCTTTAAAACTTTTAGATTTGGTTCACCTTTTCCATACTTTTTTGTCAATGTGCTGGAGGAATTAACCAAATATAATCTGAGTCCTAGAATAAATCACAATTCTGAGAAAAAATTTGGTCTTTTCTTACAAGTGCTTCTATATATCCAATTTTCCATGTTAGACTGTTATCTTTGCCAGTCATGTATTTGAAATCTACAGTACACAGATCTGCCTTTATTCAAGAATACAGAAGACTGTCACTGTCACTCAAGCTCACTTCAGAGAATTCAATCATGAGCTAGCTGCAATCTAACACTTACATATAATTACTTCAAATGAGTCTACATTTGAAGATGTTGAGTCTAACCAAATAATAACTGATTAACTTTTGAATAGGATATCACAGAACTGGAAAAACTTGATGTTATCTCTACTCTCAGGGAGCTTACAGTGTACGGCAATCCAGTGAGTATGTTACCATTCTAATTTATTAGTTAATTTACTGGTAGTTTTATAAAATTTATTTTTATATGGTATTAGAAAGGGATTTAATTTTATGTTTCTGTATGCATAGCCAGTTATCCCAGCCCAAATGTATTGACTTCTTCCAACTGATTACAGTGCAAACTGTCATTGTCATGTATAAATAAGGTCTGTTTCAGGTTTCCACATTATATTCCTTGGCCTATTTTTCTAACCCTGTGCCAATATTATATAGTGTTAATTAATTAACATTTTGTAGTAAGCCTTGATGTCTGGTAGAATAAGCACCTCTAATTCTTCCTCTTTCACCTCCTTCTCTTTCTCATTATTTCTTTCTCTTTCTTCACTGCCTTGGCTATTCTTGGCCCTTTACACTTTTCTATAAATTTTAGGAACCAATCCATCAAGTTACATGAGAATCTTGTTGGTATTTTAATTGGAATGGCATTCAATTTATAAGTTAATTTGGGGAGAAGGTTGCAACCTTTCCTGTTGGAATCTTTGAGGGGACCCAATAAGTAGCACCCTTGTTCACCTAATTTCTAAACAGATTGAGTAATATGACAATGGAGAGGCAAAAATATCAGCTTAGCTTAGTGAGAAATCAAAGGGGCATGTTATCAGATTTCAGAAATAGTCAGTCATGATCACCCAGATATAGAAAATACTACACCGAGCTTTTTCCGCATAAGAGGAGAGCTACTCTTGGAGAGCAGAACACATTCTTCCAGAACACTCTTTTCCCAAGAAGGGAGCTAAATCACTCAACTTCCCCTAGTAGAGAGGAAGTGAAGGGTTTGAGAAAACCCAGGAGGGCCACATCATAGAGCTACTTCCACCAAGAAGAAAATAGCAATAAACAGTATCCCCTAATATTTATAGTATTCAGCCTTCACATTCATTAACATAAATATCACTCCATTTATTTCATGTCTTTGAATAAATATTTGTAATTTTCTCCATAAAGATTTTAATCATCTTTGGTTAGATTTATTGTTGTTTTAATTGCTTTTTAAATAGTGTCTTTATTTTCCTAATTGTTTGTTGCTGGAGTGTATACATTCTGATTTTTGTATATTGCTTTTTATCTAGGACCCTTGCTGAACCCTCTTTTTAATTATAATGGTTTGTAATTTTTTTTGGATTTTCTCTATAGACTATTATCTGCAAATATGACTATCATTTCTTTCCAGTTCTCACATTTTTAATTTCCTTTGCTTCTCTTAGCATGCTATCTAGGACCTCTAGTACAGTGTTGAATTAGAAGTACCATTAGAAGTACTTATAGTAAGTTACTAACTTCAAAAGAATGCTTTAAAGTTGTCACTACTTAATATGATGTTTGCAGTAGGTTATGGGAAGATAACCTTTAACAGCTTAAGGAAATTCTAGTTCCAGTTTCCTACCAGTTTTGTCTTGAATGGGCATTGCTTTTTCAGTAATTGGTAATATAGTTTTTCTCTTTAATCTGTTAATATGGTAAATTACAATAATAGACTAGTGTTAAACCATCTTGAAATTCCTGGGATGAATACTTCTTGGTCATGTTTTATATTTTATTGGATTCAATTTGCTAATATTTTATGTAGCATATCTGTATCCATGGAAATAAGTAAAATTATCCTATAATTTTATCTTCTTTTAGTATTCTTTTCAACTCTCTCAAAGTTTTACTTGCTTCATAAAATAATTTGGGAGCATTCCCTCTTTCTTCAATCTATGGAGTTTTTATATGCAATGTCTCATATACTTCTGGAAGGATAATTAAACCTTATCTCTAGAACTCTCTGGGCTTAATATTTTTTGAGGTTATATTTTAAACTACTTAAATTCTTTAATGGCGATAAAGCTAGTCATGTTTGTATTTCTTAAAACAGCTATTCTGAGAAGTTATATTATCTAGAAAATTGCCCTTTTTAGGTAATTTTTTTTTCTTTTTTTTTGAGACAGAGTCTCTCTTTGTCACCCAAGATGGAGTGCAGTGGCAAGATCTCAGCTCACTGCAGCCTCTGCCTCCTGGGTTCAAGCAATTCTCCTTCCTCAGTCTCTCAAGTAGCTGAGATTACAGATGCGTGCCTTCATGTCTGGCTAATTTTTTGTATTTTTAGTAGAGACAGAGTTTCACCATGTTGGCCAGGATGGCTTTAATCTCCTGATCTCATGATCTGCCTGCCTCTGCCTCCCAAAGTGCTGGGATTACAGGCGTGAGCCACCTTGCCTGGCCTGTAAAATTTTAATGTATTGCTCTCATAGTACTTTCATGAATTGTTTTTCATTTATTTTTTAAAATTTGTATTGATGTAAAATATACATATATAATTTACCATATTTACATTTTTAAATGTCCAGTTTAGTGTAAATAAATATATTTATATTCTTTATTGTTCCTTTCATTCCCATCTCTCATCCCCACTCCCCTTCCTAGACTCTGGTAACCACCAATCTAGTCTTCATCTTCATTAGATCCACTTTTTTAGCTCCCACATATGAGTGAGGGCATATGATATTTGTTTTTCTGTGCCTGGCTTATTTTACTTAACATAATGGTTTCCAATTCCATCCATATTGCTGCAAATAACAGGATTTCATTCTTTTTATGGCTGAATAATGTTCCATTGTGTAGATATACCACATTTTCTTTATCCATTCATCCGCTGATGGGCACTTAGGTTGATTCCATATTTTGGCTATTATGAATAATGCTGCAATAAACATAGGAGTACAGGTATCTCTTTGATGTATTGATTTCCTTTCTTTTAGATACATACCCGGTAGTGGAATGGCTGGAAAAGATGGAAGTTCTATTGTGAGTTTTTTAAGGAACCTCCATACTGTTTACCATAATGGTAATTTACATGCCCACCAACAGTGTGCACAGGTTCCCCTTTCTCCACATCCTTACCAGCATCTGTTATTGCCTGTAGTTTTGATGTCAGCCATTTTAACTGGGGCAAAATGATACCACATTGTGGTTTGGTTTGCATTTCTCTGATTATTAGTGACTTTGAGCACTTTTTTTTTTTTTTTTTTGTAAACCTGTTGGCCATTTGTATGTCTTCTTTTGAGAAATGTCTGTTCAGATCTTTTGCCAGTTTTTAAATTTAATTATTTATTTATTTTTGGCTGTTAAGTTGTTTGCGCTCTTATGTGTTCTGGTTATTAATCCCTTGTCAGATGGATTGACTGCAAATATTTTCTCCCATTCTGTGGGTTGTAGCTTTACTTCGTTGATTATTTACTTTGCTGTACGGAAGCTTTTCAGTTTGATGTAATCCCATTTATCCATTTTTGCTTTGATTGCCTGTGCTTTTGATGTCTTACACAGTATTTGCCCAAATAAATGTCTTGGAGGATTTCACCAATGCTTTCCTCTAGTAGTTTCATAGTTTAAGGTCTTAGATTCAAGTCTTCAATCCATTTGGATTTGATTTTTGTATATGGTGAGAGATAGACGTCAATTTTCATTCTCCTATACAGAGTTATCCACTTTTCCCAGAACTATTTATTAACAAGACTGTCATTTTCTCACTGTAAGTTCTTGGTGTTTTTGTCGAAGATGAGTTGACTGTAAATGCATGGATTTATATCTGGGTTATCTATTCTGTCACGTTGGTCTATGTGTCTTTTTTTAATGCCAGCTCCATGGTTTTTTGGTTACTATAGCTTTGTAATAAAATTTGAAGTCACATTGTGTGATGCCTCCAGTTTTGTTCTTTTTGCTCAGGATTGCTTTGGCTATTCGGGAATATTTTAGGATTTTTTTTTTTTTATTTCTGTGAAGAATGTTTTAGGTATATTGATAGGGATTGCATTGAATATGTAAACTGCTCTGGGTAGTATTGTCTTTTTTTAACAACAGATATTTATTTCTCACAGTTCTGGAGGCTGAAAGTACAAGATCAAAGGGCCAACTGATCCAGTTCCTGGTGAGGACCATCTTCCTGGCTTGCAGATAGTTGTCTTGCTGTATCCTCACATGGCTCTGGTGGGAAGGGTTGGGTGTGAAGAGAGCACAAAAACTCCTGGTCTCTACTATACTTTTCTATAAGGGTACTGGTCCCATCATAAGGACCCCATCCTGATGACCTCATTTAAACCTAATCACCTCCCAAGACTCCAACTCCTAATAATACCATTACATTAGGGGTTAGGGCTTTAATATATGAATTTTGGGGGCACATCAGCATTCAGTCCATAGCAAAACTTAATCCTCAGCCTCAACTCAGGGTTCACCTATTGTTCTCATAATGTCTGTTATAGCAAAAGTATTCAGCCAGGATCATGCATTGCTAAGAGACATTAGTGGTCATGTACCTTTAGCTCTTCCAGTCTAGAAGATTCCTCCTCCAGACTGAGGAGTCTTCCAGACCAGAGAAGCCAAAGGGACATGATGATTCCTTCACTTTGATGACTTTGACACTTTTGAAGATTATGGACCAGTTAATCTGTAGAACGTCCTTCAAGTTGGGTTCATCTGGTGACATCTTATGATTAGACTCAGGTTGTGCATTTTGGGGAGGGATATTGCAAAGGTGGATGTTGCATTCTCCATGTATCTGTCATACAATTTTAATTTGTCCTATTCACTGTGATCACTTGATTGAAGTGGTGTTTGCCAGATTTTTCTGCTGTAAAGTTACTCTTTGCCTCTTTATTTTTTTTTGCCTTCTGTGGCATCATGTACTTTATTTTATATATATATATATATATACACACACACACTAAAGTTCTAGGGTACATGTGCACAACGTGCAAGTTTGTTACACATGTATACATGTGCCATGTTGATGTGCTGCACCCGTTAACTCGTCATTTACATTAGGTATATCTCCTAATGCTATCCCTCCTCCTTCCCCACACCCCACGACGGGCCCTGGTGTGTGATGTTCCCCATCCTGTGTCCGAATGTTCTCATTGTTCAATTCCCACCTATGAATGAGAACATGCGGTGTTTGGTTTTCTGTCCTTGTGATACTTTGCTC